AATGGAAGAGGATGCAACGGTGGCCTCTCGGTGGACCCTTGCAGCAATCTCTGCATATGTAACCGATGTTCTGGGAGGCTTAGTCTCGACAAGAGATATTTGAGCTACAGGTACCAAGGGTTGGTGTTTGGCTGCTTCATCCTTGTTAACAATAGGTCCAGTGGAATTTGCTTAACCAGACGTTTTGAATGGTGCCTGATTTTCGTTGCTGTGAGTACTGTTTGATTCACGTAGGTACAGCCTGTTTTGGCCCGGCGTTCTATCAAAGTTGGAGAAGACAACGGAGATGGAGACGTGGCTGATTGCGGTGCAGGGGAGGTGAATTATTCAGCATTCTGTTGCTTAGCAGCCGCCACGCTTCTGTGGTCCATACTCGCTTCCATTGAAGTAATCTTATTGTTTATCCTCTGCTCTGCTTCTGCGATTAACCGGTCGCATTTCTCAGCTAGGATAATCAAGCACTTAACGAGGGGGATGGTGGAACACGCAGTACAGAACCAAAATGCATCTTGGGAACTATTTCGCTCCCGTAACTGTTGTTGGGACACATTTGCACATTTCGTATGATACCATTCCAAACAGTGCGAACAAGCCAGACCGGTTTTTACTACCCGATGACATTCTCCTAACCCGCAAAAGCCTTTCGATGGGAGTCTCTTCTGTTTCGCCTTTCTGCCATTCAACTTGGTGTCGTTACCTGACTCAGTGGGTTGGTTAGCGTTCTGTACTTTTACAGCTTTGAGAGCGGCGCACATCGGTCAGGCGAGCTTGGTGGTTGCAAGGTCAAATCAGTGGACTAACGGCACTCATACCATCTAATAACAGTCCGATTGGAATAAGTACGACCACAGCCTCATCTAAAAAATTTCAGAATTCCGTTGACACTAGTGTTGGTTGCAACCTGGTTGCTGCCTAGGCAACAGGGAACTAAAATCTTTCGTTACTACAATTGGACCTAGCCTCCAAGGTTGGTATGCAAATCATCGGGGCCGTTGTCCTCAACTCAGGCTGCGCAAATGGTCAAGAAGTGGCCACATTAATGTTACTCTGTACCAACGTTACGGAAGCAATGTCAAATTACTTAAAAGGCAAGCAACTCCATGATGTGAACCAGTGGAACTTCCTAGATGCTGTAACTAAACCCGCAGACTTGTTGCGGTTCACCCGTCATCCAAACTCAAAACACTGCAGTGAACCAAGTCTTCTCCGAGTTTTATCAAATTCCGACAATGAAGCCGAAGCAGTTCTGTTGTCGACGGGAATCCGTATCTTACTGGATACTCCCTGGAGAGAACATAAACACGCGAAGCACGACTTTGAACAAAAATTGTGGGACTCGGTAGCCAGAACCATCCTTCTGCACCGAGTTCCAGAGGGTGGAGGACATGATGAGCGCGAAGCGACCACCCAAAACTAGGAGCTGTAGCGTTACCTTCAAGAGACTCTCCGCTCCGAAAATGTCATAGCGTAACGACCTCGAGGCTACGCAGACCGTCAGGTTACAAAAGCTATGACCAGAGGATTGTGAAAGTGGTTCTTGAATCAAGTTAGATGTCAACAAGTGTATTGGGGTGTTGGTAAGCGCGTCACATTGGCCCAGCTTTAGAGCTCCGAATCAAAGCACAGTTTTTTAAGCAAGCACATGACAGTCGCAATTTAATCGTGGCACTTCTCGACAACGATTCGGAGAACCTCACATATCTAGCAGACGAAACAAGCGAACCCACTCAATATGTTACATGCGAAGAGATGAGCAAGGTGGAAATGGCACAATCCTCACATCTGACACAGAGGTGTACGTCACCGCCCCACCGAAAGAACGATCAGTTGCCGAGCTGGCAGCTGTCGGGTACAACAGTATGACATGCAAAACACATATCCCCGGCTCACTTCTGGTATCAGCGAAACTTTTCTGTACGTACACCAACGCACAAGGTCTCTTGAACAAGCTTGCTGTACTGTGGCTATGTCAAGCAGCATACGCCTGAAACATCATATTCGTAAATGAAACTTGGTCGCA